ACTCAGACGAGGATTAAGCATCGAGAACGGTACAACGAATCGTCTTGTTTCTCTAATGATTTAAAGAAATGTAAAATCTTCCACGCTTCGCGCAGGAGGGGGGGTGGGACTGAATTTAGATAAGAATTAAGAGTCGAGAACGGTACAACGAATTGTCTTCTTTCTCTAATGATTTAATGAATCGTAAAAGCTTCCGCGCTTCGCGCAGGAGGGGTTGGGGGGGGGGGGGGGGGGTAACTGAATTCAGACGAGGATTATTTTCGAGAACGGTACAACGAATCGTCTTCTTTCTCTAATAATTTAATGAAACGTCAAAGCTTCCGCGCTTCGCGCAGGAGGGGTTGGGGGTTGGGACTACATTTAGACAAGAATTAAGAGTCGAGAACGGTACAACGAATCGTCTTCTTTCACTAATGATTTAATGAATCTTAAAAGCTTCCGCGCTTCGCGCGGGAGGGGGTAACCTGTATTCAGACGAGGATTAAGAGTCGAGAACTGTACAACGAATCGTCTTCTTTCTCTAATGATTTAATGAATCGTAAAATATTCCGCGCTTCGCGCAGGAGGGGCCGGGGGTGGGGGGGGGGGGGGGGGGCGGTGAAAATGAATTCAGACGAGGATTATTTTCGAGAACGGTACAACGAATAGTCTTCTTTCTCTAATGATTTAATGAATCGTAAAAGCTTTCGCGCGGGAGTGGGTAACCTGTATTCAGACGAGGATTAAGAGTCGAGAACCGTACAACGAATCGTCTTCTTTCTCTAATGATTTAATGAATCGTAAAAGCTTCCGCGCTTCGCGCAGGAGGGGCCGGGGGGGGGGGGGGGCGGTGAAAATTAATTCAGACGAGGATTATTTTCGAGAACGGTACAACGAATAGTCTTCTTTCTCTAATGATTTAATGAATCGTAAAAGCTTCCGCGCTTAGCGCGGGAGGGGGAAAACTGAATTCAGACGAGGATTAAGAGTTGAGAAATGTACAACGAATCGTCTTGTTTCTCTAATGATTTAATGAATCGTAAAAGCTTCCGCGCTTCGCGCGGGAGGGGGAAAACTGAATTCAGACGAGGATTAAGAGTCGAGAAATGTACAACGAATCGTCTTTTTTCTCTAATGATTTAATGAAACGTAAAAGTTTCCGCGCTTCGCGCGGGAGGTGGGAACCTGTTTTCAGACGAGGATTAAGAGTCGAGAAATGAACAACGAATCGTCTTGTTTCTCTAATTATTTAATGAAACGTAAAAGTTTCCGCGCTTCGCGCAGGAGGGGTGAACCTGAATTCAGACGAGGATTATTTTCGAGAACGGTACTATGAATCGTCTTCTTTCTCTAATAATTTGATGAAACGTCAAAGCTATCGCGTTTCGAGGAGGAGGGAGGGGGAAACTCGCCCCTCCCTGCACCCACCCCCCCCCCCGCATTACGTCACTGCTGGTCACCATTACGTTCCAATATTTGGCTCGCATAATTTCAAATTTGGGCCCCCCCCCCTAAGAAATCCTGGATCCGCGCCTGTCATAAGCAAACTAAAGCTTGACAAGGATGACGGCCTCAAAAAACAAAAAAAAAAACATTTTTTGCGAGTGATCGAAGCGAGTGAACAAATTAAAAAATCCTGATGGTGGTTTAGGCACAATCTAACAATGAAAGACTGAAGATCTTTAAGAAGAAACTTAGTTATATATATCAACTTTAAATGCGAGCGAGCTTTGGGGGGAATCAAAGAAAAAGTTGGTATTGGTCGCTTTAGATTAGGGCCGCATGTTATAGTTAAAGGAAAAGGGGCACTTGTCCAGGCACGTAGCCAGAGTTTGATGTTTGGGAGGGGCACATACATGTAATCGATCGAGGTAAAAAAAAAAAGGGGGGTCTAAAAAAGTTCAACCGATCTTGGAAATTTTTGGGAGGCACGTGCCCCCCCCCCCCCCCCCGTGGCTTCGTGCCGGCACTTATCAAAAGAGAGAAGGACACTTATTAGAAAAGAGAAGGAGCACGTGTCAATATAAAAATGGCAATTATCAGAGCACTTCTTGCACCTGAAATGGGGCGCTGACCAGAGCTTTAAAGCGCACTGATTAGAACGGAAAAGGGACATCATTTTGTCGAAGGAAAAAATGCACCTATCAAATTTTAAAAGGGGACACTTATCAGAGGACAGGTCTCTATATGAAACAAAAAGGGGCACTTATCTGAAGTAAAATGGGGCACTTTAAGGGTACTTGAAAAAATGGATGGGCACTGTGACCTCCCTGCCCCCCCCCCCCCGGTAGCGCTTCTGCCTGCAGGCCTATACTCTTCATCAGACTGTGCAGTTGTCCGACCCCAGATTCCCGGCCTCCCTCTCTTCTCCGTCTTCCCCTCCTCCACCTCACTTATTCTCTCTCTTTGTCACCTTTCTCTCTCTCTCTCTCTCTCTCTCTCTCTCACCTATAGCATGTACGGTTGTCTCTATCTTTCTCTCATTCTCTCACCTTCTCCCCCCTCTCTCTCTCTATCAATTTCCAACCCCCTCCCCTTTCTCTCTCTCACCTCAGTTCTCTCTCTTTTGATCGAGTGCCCTAAATGGCAGTGGAAACGCTTAAATACACTTTTCCTCTCCATTTCATTTTCCTCGGTCATATAAAGTAATATAAAGTTTTTCTTTAATCATAAATCAGCTGTGACGCACCGGACTATATACTGTAGTTCTGAGTTTTCCTATTTACTTACTAGAATAATGAAAATCTAATACAAGAGCTAAAGTTATAGTAAGCGATGATATTTTTGGCTCAATTTTTCCATTCTTTATAAATCTCTTAGAAAAAAAATTGCATAATATTGCAGAAATTTGTATTAACTGCAATTTTTAAAACTTGAGTCCTAGTGTACCTGTGTACCTCTCTTTGATCGTTTCTTTTTAAATTGTGTTGTATGTTTGCTTTTAATTATAGACGCAGTAGATGAGACCAAGCAGAACTCCACAAAAGTTTCAAAGTTGACAACGAAATAAAAATATAGACCAGACGTGTTCTTTATTCACTAACGCTGGGAATATGGGCTACCGTTAAACTGCCCCTCCCAACAAATGGGCGGGGGGGGGGGGGCAGGGTATAGGAAGCGAAGGAAGACAGTGACTGGGTGATAGAAAGCGAAAGAGAGAGAGAGAGAGAAAGAAAGAGAGAGCGGGATGGCGTTGATAAAAGATAGAGTGAGAGACTGATGAGAGAGCAAGAGAGAGAGAGAGAAAGAGTTTGAGGAGCGGGAGATGGCGTTTTTGATTTTTCAGGGGGGGGGGGGTGTGGCCATGTTCCATTAATAACTTTTAGTGGGAATGGGCTAATGTTTTTTAATGTTACTGAATCAACTTGTTCATAAGGATTAAAAACTGGACAAAGCCGATACATATCAATTTAAACAGTTTTCAAGAACTTACGATCAGATGTCTAGTCTGATGTGCAGTAGCTTTATGATCTTCGACGTCTGCTGCCCATCAAAGTGTGAAAGCAAAAATGCGTGTTTACATCGGGAAATAATCAATATTTTTTTCTTCAAATCATACGATGCACGTATATTGAAATTGTACATTGTATCATATTATTTCTCATAGTGTGGATACAGTGTGTACACGGTTTGTAGACATGGTCATAACGATGTCACATCCCATGGGCGGTCACACTCTGATGCCCGTTCACACTGTAATTCATTATCATGATTAACACAGTGTGTCACGGTATGTCACAAAGTATACGTCACATTGCTACTCACAGTGTGGATAGACTATGAACATGATAATTACTATAAACATGTTCAATGCTATATATATCCGTGTAGTAGCGTTTCAAAACGTAACCCTAATCACACTAATGTGCGTCTACACTGTCATTCATGACATTGACACAGTATACATGTGTCACATTTGGACTGTCACGTCATGTATTATTTCTCTCAATGTGAACACAGTCGACACCTACTGAAATGTTAAAAATAATATCCGTTGTAAATTACACTCTACACTGCAACAATAATTCGTTTAGATTATTGACTTAGTGTACGTGCTACAGTATTGAGACTATTTTACAGAGTGTTCCAGAATTGTTCTCAGTGTGGAAATAGCTAGAACTGTGATGGTTGTTATATTGTTAACGTGGTAAACAAAACTCTATGTTAATTGCTCCGGAGTCACACGTTGTTATATAGTCTGAAAACAAACAATATAAGAAATGTAATTCTTTAAAAGTATTTTTATTTGAATTAAAATCCTTACTACAATAACGCCGGAATATAGATGACACTGTGTTAGAAAGTAGGTAGGCCTATAGATCCAAATATTTCTTTAAAATACATCATTACAAAATTAATATTGTGCAAAGGCCCCTAGTACACGTCCAATTTTTAACTGTTATCTAACAAACATGAACCTACATAAAAAAAATAAAAAAAACATTGATCAACAAGGCTTCTCAAAACAATTGAAGTGCTCGAGGATAATGTCCATTTTGAAAGCTATAGAGCTATTTACAGAACAAAAATTAATTTAATCCAGTAGAATTCAGGAAAACTTGTCTAGGAGTTGAAACACAATTGTATCATTGCATAATTATTATCGCACCGTGAGGTCTCTCTGCGCCTACAAAGGCCTTTGAAGATTATTATCCCCGCATTAATAGCCAGTATTTGACTTAACAATAAAATGTAGTCCTTGGGCGGCTGGGCCCCATATCACAAAACTTTTCCTCCCTGAGAAATGACAGTTTTTGTTATAAGCTAGTGACATTTTTGCTCCTAATGGGTTATCAGCAGATTTGTCACTGATTTTTGTCACTTGTCATTGAAAGAAGGCTTTGTGAAACGGGTCCCAGGTCATGTGACTACATCGTGAAATAAACTGTGTGGAAGAAATTTGAGATGGCTCGTCAAGTCGTATATAAGTGTTACACAGGCTTCCTATGCCTGCGCCGGTTCAATTAATTAAGATTAGTAAACACGGAGATCCATTAAAATACATAAGTCTGAAACATATATTTTGTGCCAATGATAATTCCAAAGAGGTATTTATTAATATTCAGTGTCAAAGGTACACCGATAATAAACTCCCAGTGTGACAACTGGCATTTCCAATTTCAAACAAACAATTCTTACAAAAACAGCTACATGCAAAGCTTTACAATGTTTATTACAAGAATGATAGCAAAAGAGCAAAGTAAACTACACTATACAGTAGAAACATATTAGGGAATAGAAGAAAAGAATAGATGTTCATATGAAGTACAAATGATAAAACACAAGTCGTTCGTCAGTAAGCACTAAATACATCGATCAGGCGGAGAGCGTTGCCTGCACAACGACAGCAGTCCCAACTCTTGTCCCGAGGGAAATGGAACTGGAACCATGGTGGAACCATGGTGGAACTGTTAAGAAACAAAATCAAGGCAGGTCTTAAAAAGCTGCGACATAGTAACTTCTGGGGGAAGTTACATCACACGTCTATCTGCCTTGAAGTCTAAACTTGCTCTCCTACTTAATCAATAATAATTCTTCTTTATATGGAACACAGTAATTCAACAAGAGTATTTATCGTCTTACAAGTAGTTATTGGACTATCACTAAACTATCTAATCAAAAGTATTTTACAATGACTGAAATATCTATAAATAGGTCTGGCTTGTGAAAAGTAGTATCTTAATTCATACTTAATTACAACCATCTTGTATCAAAAGTTAATGGATAAACACATGAAAATATAACAATGGGTTTTCCAACGCAAGGAGAATCACACTAAACAGTATCGTACAATTCATTCAAATTGCATGAGGATCTTATGATTTCTCTATAATTTACTAGAATAAAACATGAATATACTTTTAGGAAGGTGAGTGTTCGCTTACCTGTTAAGAAACAAAATCAAGGCAGGTCTTAAAAAGCTGCGACATAGTAACTTCTGGGGGAAGTTACATCACACGTCTATCTGCCTTGAAGTCTAAACTTGCTCTCAACGAGAAAGCCAATCTTTCTTCCAAACCAGGCAAACAACCCCACTATTCCCTATCCCCAAGACAAAGGGGTACCAGTAAGTGTATCCACTGGTCATTCATGATTTATGTACTCTACGAATAAAGGAAGTGGTCTGGGTTTAAGACATAAACAAGGCCTATAGAATAGGGGTATCTTTGTTCCCATCTCTTTGTTTCACCAGCAGCATATACCAGAGAGGTGATCTTAATAGAAACATAGTTTAAAGGTACACTTTAAATAGGGGTTCAACAATTTAAAGTAATATAAGCTTACTCAAAAATAGAAAATAGGTTTACTCAAAAAAAATAGAATATACCTTAATAAACAGGGTCTGACATAAGAATTAATGAAGACTGTGAAGTCGTGAAATGATCCAAATGAAAACTTGAAGAAAAAAAGGGGGAAAAACGACTTAATTTCCTAATAATGAAATGACACTGCACGCAACGATCACACCGTATTTATGATTTTGCAGGCCTCTAACTCCTATGAAGTATACCTGTCTTATATAATCATGCACACTCAAGTCCAATATTCCAAAGCTGGAGTTGTTTAAACCTCTTTTTTTCTTCATGAAAATGCAATGATTTTATCCGGTTCACGATGATGTTGTTAGGAAAATAGGGCGCCAGTTAAGATGGTGAGGACAACGAAGAGAATGAGAGCGACTGCGACGTCGAGGAGGAAGAAGACACGGGGCGCACTGAAGCTGGACTGGGCCTGTGAAAGAGAAAGAGAGAGAGAGAGAGAGAGAGGGAAAATGAAAGCGACAGAGAGAGAGAAAGAAATAAGGAAAAGGTGACATTTATTTTACTATTAGCCTAAGTTGATAAAAGCTGTGATCTAATTTTTAATACGATCAGAGTTTGTAAATTCAATCATAAGCACAACAGTCATGATTTATTTTCCAGACAGCCTTTAAAAGGCAAGAGCCTAATTGGTGCTGCCAACGAAACAGGTAATAACAACATAAAGTATTCTATTATTCAAACATATTTGTGGCTTATACACCCAGTAAATAAGATCGATTGACGATCTGTGTTGAAAAACAAGTCAGAAAAAATCTTGGAACCAGCGGGACTTGAACCTGCCATCTACTGCTTGCCGGGCAGCGACTCTACCACCAGGCCATCACTGGTCCATGGCACATCCACGATGAACTAGAAACAAATACCCAAGCTCTCCTGATTCATTCTGACTCATTAATATTCATTAGTCCGCCATAGGACAATAACTTTATAAATGCAATGCTTCCTGGGAGAAATTTCAATTATTCAAACATATTTGTGGCTTATACACCCAGTAAATAAGATCGATTGACGATCTGTGTTGAAAAACAAGTCAGAAAAAATCTTGGAACCAGCGGGACTTGAACCTGCCATCTACTGCTTGCTGGGCAGCGGCAAGCAGTAGATGGCAAGTATAAAGTATTCTGTTAGTAGGCCCCTATTAAAAATTACTTCTTGAACTAATGAGCGAAAACTTTTTGGGGGCCAATCTTTGCGAGGGAGCGTAGCGACCGAGCAGGGGGATGGTGTGGGAGGGGGTGTCTTTTTTATTTTTCGACCTGAAAATGTGCAATCTGGAAAGGAATTTTCTAGTAGTGTTACGTACCACTATGGCCCTTTAGACAAGTGACTATAAAAGAAACTTAATGCATTCCTGGCTATTTGGGAATGTGTCAGTTTGCAACAGAAATGGAGAAACGCGCATTTTGTTGAAAATCATGTGTTATCACGAACATTTATAAATCACTTGTATGGAATTGAAAATAATTCATGGTTTAATTTTATGGGGGCAAGCGCCCGAAGCCCCCCCCCCCCACCAGTACGCCAGTGCCACCAGTAGTGCACCTACAGAGTTTAATTCTATATATTGGAGCAACACAAATACATTATTAGTAGAAGTAGAAGAAGTTGTAGTACTAGTAATAGTAGTGGTAGTGCATTGTAGTAGTAATAGTAGTATGTATAGTGATAAAACACGATACCATCTACAATCTGATTTTCGACCTAAGGCAATTTTAATAGTCTATATGTCACCTACTGAATTGTGCGAACACGAAAATCACGTGTTACGTAATCCGAACTTGATTTCTATATGGGACAAACTAAAGAGTTTTAAAACTGCCCTTGACTTAATTTTTAGGAAACAATTACGATCATGATATAACAAGATATTTCCACCACCTCCCGTTTCGTTTAAGGGAGGCACAACGGAATTACTAACCTTCGTCGTCCCTTGCTGCTCTGCGGGGTAGAACCGGTAGATGATGGCGTTGATGACGACGACGATGCTGTTAATCAACATCCCAGCCAGAAGGAACCTCCCCAGCCTGGTCACAGAGTACGCCGGCACCTCGGCGCTGAGAGCCGCATTGAGGACGATGAGCGACACAAATACCAGGCCTGCGAAGATGATACGTTCTCCTCCCTTCGACGGCTGCATGAGGAAGACGGCGAGAATCAACCAGACGCTGACAACGGCGGGACCGATGCGACCGTGGCTCTCCCGGCGGCTGATCGTGATGTAGAACGTGACATCTTCGTAGACCTCCTCGCAGCAGTCGGAAACGACCGAGTTCTTCTGCACCGATGTTTCTACGATGTGCCACATCGGGTTATCCGAGAAATGACTCAGACCCACACTATTTGACGTCGTGTCCAAAACTATCCGCGAGTTGTCGTTGGTCCAAGAACCGAAAGTGAGGCTGCAGTTCTATGTAGATAATAAATTTTGAGGTAAAGAAATGTTTTTAAAGTGTCGTATTCTGATAAAGGATGACTATGTGTCGTGTCCTCTATTGATAGGTAAGATATCAATTAAATGGATAGTTGAGTTCTGTTGCAGAGGGCGCTACACAAAATAATTTTTTTGTGAGATAATGAAAAACTGAGTGACAAATTTGGAGGAACATAATATTTAAATGACAAAATCATCTTTGTTTGATCAAAATCGGTTCAGAGACGGCTGAAATATAACGATTTCTAATACTTGTGTACCACCACAAAATAGAGATATTTTGAAAAATTTGAAAAAACCGTTGAAAAAAACGAAATAACGTCTTTTACGTCGTATTTCAGCGAATGCCGCTGTTGGCTTTTTTGTTGGCATTTTCGTGTTGCTTATAATTACCCACAATTAGCCGGCTCATGTATTGTTATTTTTAATTAAATAATTATTTAACGGTCATCGTGTTTTTTTTTTAAAGTGGAGCTGAATTGGTATGATATCGTATTGACTAAATTTCACACATTTTGGGGTCTAAAATTACCTTCATAGCAATTTTAGGTTCTAAAACGGCACTATAAATGTCATAAATAAGAATAAGAGCAACAACCATGCACTTTGAAGGCATTTCCGGTCTGAAAACAGAACTCCCTTTAACTAACCCGCAGATAAGTACCTTTATAGAATAAAATAATATTTTGAACAATTTAGAAACCCACAAGCCCGGATAAATAGGCCTATACTCAAAATCAAATTTTCCCAGGTACAACTACTGCCTATGGAGTAATTATTTGGTGGAATTATGTGTAGTGTAGTTGTCCGTGGTATTCGTGTCAGCTTTGGGCTATATACGCAGACACCATACCAACAGCACATAGAACATAAACATTTTTTTTAAAATCCCAAAATGGCCAAGAATTATCGGTCTGTTTGGAGTCTGTCTGGAATCCATTTGGCGGTGTGACTGCCTGGGTTCATGGCGTCGTTGGAATCCTTTATAATTTTTGTCTTCAAATAAAATCTTTCTTCAATTTTTAACGCAGTGTACATTTACAAAATAATGGATATATACAATTTTGACAAAGAAAGTTACGACAAAGAACAAGATTCTCCATCTATCAAGAAATGAAATAAACCGATCTTGTTGCGCATAGGTTTTTTGTAAAACTTCATAATAATATTTCAATTTCTTTTAAAAAAATGAAAATGATAAAGATCCCTTCGAACATCTATGTGAAACTATACAATAATTATTATATAACATATGTTGTTATCGGAATCTTGCCGTCTTACGTGAGTATCGTAGGGGAAGTCACTGAGATCGAGTCCGCACGAAGCGTCGACGAACATCGGTACGACCAGAGCGATGGTGCCGTCCGGGTAGATGATGGCCTCGGAATAATCAATGCTGGGCTCATTGGAAGCACTAGAGGATAAACACAGATAGTTATTTGTAAAACGTATGATGTGTGTGTGGGTGTGTGTGTGTGTGTGTGTGGGGGGGGGGGTCAGGATCGCAAACTAAATTTAATCAAGAGTAGGCCTATGTGCAGAAGCGGGCAGAAGGTGTGGAGAGGTCTTTGCTGCTGATGGTGGATATACCCTGTACTTAAAGATACTATGTCCCTTTTGTAGCCAACATCAAATTCTGTAGAACTTTGTATGAATTATGAATATGTCATGTATGTCCTATCTGTGAAATTTAAACACTTGCAGTGTCATAGTGTTTAAATTATGTACGGAAAGCCCTAGTACTTTCTAGACTTCACTGTCAGACACTCTTGAGTGACTGACTGGCTTTTTTTTTAATAACATACATAAAATGAGCTGTAACAGGTACATGAGCATTTGTCTACAACAACACACCCCGCACAAACTAGGGGTTCGGGGTTTCGGGTGGGGTAGTGGGGGGGGGGGGGGCTGTTGATTAAAAAAAAATAGTGCTCACTACCCCCCCCCCCCCCCCCCCCCCCCCCCGTGCTTATTTGCCGGCTACATAGGCTAATTCGCCGCTAAATATTTTCTCACGAAAAAAAGTTGGCACTCCTAATTACAACCCCCTTAAAAAAAGCTTATATACGGGCTTGCCATAACCCACTACTTGAAAATACCAAAGTTAAACTGACTGAATCTTTGTGCAGCACAAAACGTACGACCATTCGGTAAAAGGGTCTGAAATCAGACTATTACTTAGGTGATTGCAATGACTTAAGTCGATTCGACAACCAATGGCGTTATTTTCCCACTAAAAGCCATTTCAAACTCTTTCGTTTAGAGGGAAGTTCAAAATTAGTATCATCTTTCAAGTGCCGTTGGAATTTAGCATTTTCATTTTTTTTTGGCCTGCACATGGGACATAGTACCTGGCAGTGCTTATTCACTGGACTAGTGAAGACATGGGGTGGTATTCTGTCTTATCTTTTGTTGTATATTCCAGACATAATAGCGCGTTATTAGAGATAAAACAATTTCAGAATACTGTACCAAGTCACTATGTGCAAATGAGAGTTGTGGTTTTTATTGAAGATGATTTCCAGAAAAGTTTTTGTGAGGTTGTTTTTATTTTATTGGTTCAAACAATCAATCTACTGCAGGATAAAGTATAAACAATCCAGAAAGCATTATAGCCATGTCCTCTCGACATATACGGTTCCCATACAAGAGCTCAAGATTAGCTTTAATTACGATGACGGCCTCGTATACAGAGTATCATTGGTGGGATTCATAATGTCGAGGGGATTCGAACCTAGGACCTGTTTGTCTACCTACCTGTTCCAGATACTGATGTCAGGAACCCAGACTACCGAGGAGTAGACGTTGAATCTTCGAATATTACCAAATGCTGTTGGGTCCCAAGTCAAACGTTCATCTTTATACACCTGGTTATAGAATAGATGATATTCCATTAAAGGGGGAGTCCACCCTGGTGTTAAGTTGGTTTTAATGAAGCAGAAAATGGGAAAGTTTGAGGCACTTTGAGCAAATTCAGATTAACAATAAGAAATCAATCAAACACAAATTGGCAACTCTGCCTGTATATCTAGACAAAATCAGAGATGTCATTTTTTGCCCTATTAAAGAAAGGTTCCAATCATAGATACACCCTTACTATTATTGTGGCAAATATGTTTTTAAAAACCCCTGTTTGAAACAAATCTAGGCCTATTCCATCATCAATAACTAAGAAAATAAAAGTTAAAAAATTAATCTGTACAGAGAAAGTTGGAGAAGATCTCGCAAGATTCGTCATGGTGTTACCAATTTGTGTTTGAGTAATCTCAACTTCAAAAGATCATTACTTTGTCTACACTAACTTGTCAGTACCCTTTGCCTAAGTTAATGATAACTTACCAATGCTCGCCAAACGTTCATGTGCATAGTCCCTTGAAATAAATTCTGAAAGATATGAAATTCGAAAACAATCAAAGGCGGCACATAGTGTCGAAGGATGCAATCATATGAATACAAAGAAATCAAATTATAGGTATATACGAGTGAATGTGTAAACAAAGCATATTGAATATTGAAGGAAGTCTATGCTAGTGAATGAGCTACCTCTTTCTGTTTTTTTCTAGGAGATATTGAAGAATTCCTTCTTTTTTTTAAAAATTAAAGCAGCCGTTTAGTATTGGTCATTCCGTCAAAGTAGGTTTATATAATTGTTGTATGCTCTATCTTGTATATTTTATGATGTAAATGAACATTTATACTTTAAAAATAAAATCAGTCAATCAATCAATCCACCAACCATTCAATTATCAGTGATATAAGTCGATTAATCAATCAATATCTATTAATCAATCAACTCATCACTAAGCCAATCATTAGAGGTATTGTGGTCGAGTGGATATGTCGCCGGACTGTCGATCACAACGTCCGCGGTTCGAGTCCCGCCGCAGCAGAAATGTCTTTTGGCAAGGCACTGATCTACATTTGCCACACTCAACCCAGGTGATGTTAAAGGGTAACTGGCAGGAATTAATACCTTGAAATCCTGAAGCGCTGTAATGGCAGCTCGGCTAAAAGCCGGGGTACTAATAAATGCGCCTCGAAATAGAATTTCTAGATATCAGGCGCTATAGAAATGCCTATCATTATTATTATTATTATTATTATTAATTATTAATCAAACAATTAATCAGGCAATCAACCATTCATTCAAGCAATCAGTCAATAATCAATCAATCATTCAACCAATCAAATACCATCATTAGAACTGACCAGTTTTTGTAAGAGCTGGAGATCCAATGATACATTAACGTAGTGTGGCTGATCATGATGGGGTAGAAAACTCTTTGTGTAGTTCGAAAACAAGAAATCGTACAGATTACCTTGAAAGTCTGTTCAGTGAAAAGCAAAATAAGTCGTTCAGGTCAGAGGGTGTACAATTAATATTTTGGAATATGTGTGTTTACTAGTAATTATTACAAATACAAAACAAATTGAAGAAAAGGCAAAAATGAAGAAAAACGTGGCACAAAATCATCCCACTTTCTTTTAAAGAATCTGTCTTGCTACTTTCAAAAGATCCCTTCTAACATACTGGTTCCTCATTAATAAAATGTGAATAACGTATCTTAACGAGTCTATAAATGTTTAAATTTTGTAATGGCATTGGTATTTTTTGGTTTAGTGCTCCCAAATAATCTATATTTATTACATTATAAATAACATAGCAGTCATAACATTCTTTTAATGACTGCATTTGTTCTGTCACAAAGAGAAAATTTGCACAAAATAGACCACTGCGATTCACATAGGTTAAGTGAAATATGTTAAAGATTTGGGCAGACTAGCTTAGACTTCCTACGTGGCATTGCCAAACATTATGCAAAATAAACACATATTAAAAATGCTATGATAATCATGCTCGGTATAATATTCTTCTTGGTCAATTTGAATTAAATTTTATGACATGTCGTAAAAGATCATACAATTAAGAATCGGATGAAAGGATTTAGTATGATAGCTGCGGGAGACACTGAGGCACTTGCTTCCCCGATCTAATAAAAAAAAATGAAGAACCGAACAACAATAACCAGAAAAACAAGAACAACAACAATCAATCTTTATATGCATTTCATACATGTAATATTTTAGTGCCCCCATGCTTCGATCCAGCGCCCCTCCTCCTTAAAAGCTGACCCAATGCCAGGGGCGGATCTTGGTTTTTGCCAAGGGGGGTGTTTGACCCAGTGGCGGATCCAGGATTTTCCAAAAATCGCGCCGTTTTACTGTTTTACCCCTTTTTTGTGCTCCTTCTTTTGCCCCCTTTCCCCCCACTTGGCCGCCCAAGGGGGGGGGGGGGAGGTGCTTAAACCGTCGAAACACCCCCCCCCCCCAGATCCGCCCCTGAATGCTACGCGATTGCTTTGGTTGATGATAGAAAGATATACCTTGATTGGCGATTGCCTCCCCAGTGATGACAAGGAGCAGAGCTATTACGATGGAACAGATCTTCATGATTGCGAGTGATCACTGGGGGAAAAAACAAGAAAGAAACCGTCTTAGTAAAATGCAAGGTGAACGCCTATTGTGTACCGAGGGGGAAACTGAATTCAAATAAATAGGGCTTATTAAGAGTCGAAAACGGTACAACGAATCGTCTGCTTTCTCTAATAATTCAATGAAACGTCAAAACTTCCACACTTTGCGCTGGAGGGGTAAACCGAATTCAGACAAAGATTAAGAGTCGAGCACGGTTTGACAAATCGTCTACTTTCTCTAATAATTTAATGAAATGTCAAAGCTTCCGCGCTTCGCGCGAGAGAGAGGGAGAAACTGAATTCATACAAGAATTAAGAGTCGAGCACGATTCAACGAATTGTTTACTTTCTCTAATAAATTAATGAAATGCCGAAACTTCCGCGCGGGAAGGGGCCGGGGGGGGGGGGGGGTTTAAATGAATTTAGACAAGGATTAACAGTCGAGAATGGTACAGCAAATCGTCTGCTTTTAATAATTTAATTTAATGAAACGCCAAAGTTTTCGCGCTTCGCGCGGGAGGGGGGGGGAGGGTGAAATTCATTCAGAAAAGGGTTAACAGCCGAGAACGGTACAATAAATGGTCTTCTTTTCCTAATAATTTAAGGAAACGTCAAAATAAAGAGTTCGCATTTTCCTGACGAAATACTCAATCTTTATGTTACTAATTGAAAGTGTGTCGTCTTATTTCGGAGTTCATTATAATAAAACACTACAGTTTGCAGCTGTCAGTATTTCGAAATATTTCGAAAAATTCTTTTACTTTATGGTTGTCAAATTTGGCATGTGCGGGCATATATGTATGCGTGTATAAATTTATGTACATGTGTGTGTTTGTTGTTTGTTCGTGTGCGTGTGCGTGTGCGTGTGTGTGCGTGTGTGTGTTGTGTGTTTGTGCGTGCATAAATTAGTATGGGCGTGTGCTCGTGCTAGTATGTGATGGCTATCGCCGATCACCCCCCCCCCCCCCAACTCCTCGATACGAATTTCCGCCCCTGAATGGTAATAATAACAACAACAAACCCTACATCAATACTACCAATACACGAAGGGCCCCAAGCCGGCCCCTAGATGCTCATCTGATCATAATTTAAAGGTGAAATTCAAAGAAAATCACAAATATGTCAACTAATGTATCACTAGAAACTGGTAAGCTAACAGATGGCCATCGTACAAGTTTGAGGTCAGCTACATATCGGGTGATTTATAAAAATAAAAATACAACCACCTCCATAGCAGCTGGGATATACGAGAGATTCGCCAGAAAAATAACGATGTTTTAATGACGTCATAACAGGGACCAATACTGCCCAAGCAGACGACATCCCATAAAGAATGAACATAATTGCAAATTATTTCTCAAATTATAATGAGTTTAGTGTATATAAATGTAATGGCATGTCAAACCGATCAAAAGGGGACATGACCCGATTCTGATAACTAAAATCTTTTGCTTGTAAATACTCAGGATAGGGGTTAATTAACAATCAAATAAACCAGACTTTCAAATTGAAAAGCCCCCGGATTGATATTAAGGACGGCATGTGTTCCCTCTTGAAACGCCGAACATACCCCGGTGTGTGCAGCTGAATATACAATGGCGTCTTATTTTGTTTACAAGCGACAGATTCCTTTATTTTTGTATCGCTGCATTTGTCATCAAAATAAAACCTTGCGCGGGGTTTAGAGTGAGGCAATAGATTATACATTTAGCCTGACGGTAGTGAAGTAAGAGAAAGAACTCAAGAGAAGATGAAAACACAGGCACTAAAAATGTGTGAGATGTCATGGGACATCGTCTGCTTGTGCAAATCATGTCCCTGCTGTGATCTCACACATCTCAGCAGCGTTCGGAGAGCTATTCAGGTGCTATGCCGGGGCTGTATTTAAGCGTTTTGTAATTTATAATAATCATTACTTCGAATGTTTCCAAGCATTGTATTGTGATAACCTTGTCGAATTAAAGTTTCAACTTTGCAATAATGAAAATGAATCTAGATTTAAAATCAATGAATATCTACTTTAATGCCTAAAACCCCCGAGCTTCATGAGGCTCCGCCCCTTGACACCCCCGGGGCTCTGCCCCTGGACCCACGCCAACTTACGCACCACTTTCCTTTGCTTTGTTCTACCCGCCCCCGCCCCCCCCCCCCACTAAGAAAAATTTAAGAGTGGTGGTGATGCAGATTTTGTTCTGCCCCCCCCCTCCCAAACGTTTTTGCTCATCACGCCAGTACCAAACGTTTTTGCTCATCACGCCAGTACTCCCTCGTCACTCGCATTTCGTCCCCCCCCCCCCCCCGGTCATGAAAAGAAATCGCCGCCCCTGAATACTACTACTAAAAATTAAAACAATAATAATAGTAATAATAATATTAATAATAATAATTGTTACTCAGGCCTCTAAAAGGGGTGTGTAGCTTTTTGGACACCAGTCCGTGCAAAAAATAACTTAAAAATACAATTTGAATTTGTAATTGCAAATACGTTCCGGTTTCGACCTCCTGCAAGTAACATCATTATTTTCTTTTTATCTCTGCCTTTGTTTGTTTGTGAGTTTCTGCATGTCTGAGTTATTGTCCAAGTTATTTTATTCACAGCTAGGTTACCGACTAATTTATGCTCTTCAACATTTTTAGTAGTATATGTATTTTTATTTATTTATTTATTTATTCAAGTTTTATTTAAAATAGAGGGTAGGTACATTCAGTTTAACAAAACTGCTTTCCAAGTACGCCCTCTAGAACGACATAACAAGTATGCGATATACAAAAATACAAGGAATATATACAAAATATAACATTCATCAAAACTAAACATTGACATAATTATTTGACATAATATAGAGTACAAACATATATAACATAAGAAAAAAAATTATACCGGTAGAGGGAATTAAGAAAGAAGATTCGACTATAATTAATGCTTTGCCAATTGGCATCCGCGCTTAAATATTTGAATTGATTTGGTTGATTGAATTTACTTTGTCAGTTATTATTTCATCATCAATTAAGATTGTGTTGCTTACCTCCTTTTGCCTTGAAGGCAAGAGTTTTTTCAAAACCTTCCAATTTTTGCTCAAATCATTTCCGCATTCTGAGAACTCATTTTTGTAATACGCTCTTTGAAGATTTTTGTTTAGGTCATTTGCTTTGTTTCTATAAAACTTGAACTTTTTCCAGCAACAGTCACACTTTGCCTTTTTATACCTTTTCTTATAGTAATCACGGTCACGTGCCAAAGTAATATATTCATCTGTAATCCAAGGCACTCCATTACGTTTTCTTCTGACAGGAATAAAAGGTGCATGTTTATCACTTAATATTGTGAACACAGATTTGATATTAGACCACATTTTATCAACTTCAACATTTTCTTCATTAAACTCAGCCCAATTTTGATTTCTCAAGTCCTCTTGAAATTCATTTTCGTTAAAGTTCCTAAAAGATCTAAATTTACATATTTTCGAATGAAGCATTGGATTTTTGCCTTTTACGACTAAAAATATTAAACAGTGGTCACTAAAACCAATGGGCATTACACCGGACCTCAAGTTAGCAATAGAATTCGAGGTAAGTATTAAATCAATGAGTGTACTACTATGAGGTGTAACTCGTGTAGGCTCATTGATTAACTGATTTAGCTGACAAATACGACAAATATCCTTAACATTTTTAGACAATGTATTATCATTTCTCATATTACAGTTGAAATCCCCCAGCAAAACAGTATTACTTGACAATGATATTACTTTCTCAATATTTCCCTTCAAGGACGGTATAAAATGTATCTGGGCAGGAAGGTTTCCTGTATAAAATACCAACACAAATCAAACTACTACTTGTTCTTTTGATTTCTAGCCACATGAGCTCAAGCTCCTTTGTTTCAAGATCTGTTCTTCTTAAGTAATTACATTTCTCGTTAATGTAACATCCTACACCACCACCGCCAGTGGCATCCCTGTCATTTCTTTCAATTTTGTAACCATCGATAGAAATCATATGATTTGAAAAATCCTCATTCAACCATGTTTCGGATAGTCCTAAAATGTCGAAGGGGTTTGACATTAGAAATTGTTTTACATCTGTAACTTCATTTATTAAACTTCTGATGTTAAGGTGTGCTAATTTAATGCACTTTTCCTTTGGAAAATCACAAAGTATATTGTATCTATTATCTTCATTCGAAGTAGAATCATGTATAATATTCGCAAGATGAGAATATCCAAGATAAGTTTCTACGGGAAAGATATCTTCTTGTTCCCAAAAGGGAAAATGTTTCAGAGTACATACAGTACATTGCCAATTTTCAAAAGATTCATTCGTATCATCGTATTTGCATTTAGGAATTCCTTCACATACTATATATGTGCCCATTTTGTACACGAAGTACATAAAAGGGCCTTTTGGTTTTTCCTTACTGCTTTATTAAATTTACTGCATGGATATTTAACCATAAAAAAAGAGTCGGTACAAATTTATTCATAAAATTGATTGAAAAAGAAGAAAAAATATTAAAGTGTTCTTAAGTCCTCAAAGTCTCTGATTCCCTTAGTCACTGTCTTCCCACCGGTGGCAGGAAGGAGTGCAACGACATGTCCATCCGATGTCCATGTTTTGAGAACTTTGCTATGATTCCTCGTTTCATAAAGCAAACGCTGGTTATGTTTGGTGAGATCTTCATGGATCGATATACCAGTGTCTTTCATCTTGCGTCGTTGTAGTAACACCGATTTCCTAGCTTGGTACGACACAAACTTTACAATTATTGGACGGGATCGCTTTTTGCGCATTTTCTTGTCGTTGTCATGACTACTGGGTTTCGCGTTCCCGGTGTCGTGGAACAAGGTTTCTTGGTCACGGACCGATGCTTGGTCTTTGATTGGGGCTCCTACTCGGTGAGATTTGTCAATTGCGCTATAGGATGAAGCTGAATTCCAAGCTTTTCCTCTGCGATCTTGCTCACAATAGCCGTAGTATCTTCGTTCTTATTCTCAGGAACGCCGAAAAAGCGAACACAATTCCTTCGCGAGTATTGTTCTTGATCGTTGCAGGTCGATTGATTGATTTTTATTCGACAAGCTTCCAACATACAACAATATACAATAATAACAGATCAAAAATAAGTCAGCTTGAACAGGATAACCCACGAAAGCTCGAGTCCGCATCAGGGCACTGATCTGTGATGATTTTTGTTCAGCTTTCAGAGTGAGGGGATTGATCTTTAAGTCTTTATCAACAATGGATGACTGAAGCTCAAGCAAACGACCTTCTAGCTTTTCAATTGTGTCTAGAAGGGATACAAATTCCTTTTGACAAGAGCTTTTGACGATGTCATTTAAAACTTTTAGAAAGACATTGTTGGAGGTAATCTTTTCCACTAAATCATCATCAGTCCTTACAGAATCAGTTGGCGCCAAAATTGCACTGGTCGCCGCCATCTTGGAAATGTACGATATCAATTCAAAATGTAGGCAAGATAAGAATAATAATGCACATGTGAATCAATCGTACCTTGATCTGCGTCCATTTGCTGAAGAACTCTTAGATTCAATCTGTGCTGTATTAAAGTTGTGGTGTTTAATCCGCAAATAAACAACAATATTTCGATCTAATCCAGTAATGATAACGGTGAATCACACGATGAATGCAAGATCAAATTAGAGCAAAAAAAAACAACCACTTTGCAATCCAGGAAAATGATCGTCAGAAATATTCGAAGATACAGGTATTCCAAATGTAACAGCACAGTACAAAATCAAAAATGAATCCTCAATAGTGCATATAACTGGCAAATATAAAATCAAAAGACAGAGCTCCGTCAAGACACGTCCGCTCAGTTGCTCAGTTGCTCTAGTTAATAAAAGTCACATGATTGTAAGAGCTTAATTTGATGCGACTTAATATGACGTGAAATGACACATTTGATGTCAATTTACATGTGAAGAAATGGAAGAAATACACAACACGCGATAATGATGATACAATACTTTGGCCTTTGGAGTTGCCAAAAATAATGTAAGTCGATGGTGTGCCTTGTTGTTAAATGAGCACGCATTTGCATCATTAAATACGTTTTTGTAAATAAATTATAAACATTTATTGGATAGAACCATAATATAGGTCTATCAATATTGATTTAGTTGATGACATACGGAATGAAAATTTTGCGTAGCCGTATATTCAAAGACAAATCGAATATGACTGTCATGTTTAGGAAGTTCTAGAATATACATTGTACATCCAAAGCGTAATGGCCGTGTGCCGCTAGTGCCTAGGTGTGCCCTGAACATATTGTGTTGCATTATTATTGCCCAGGTGATAGATAATCACTTGAAGGTCGTGAATTATGTGAGCATCATAAAAGAACTGTTGGACTGTTATCGTTGGATTTTTTACCATGAAATTTTTCTCTTTAATTTTTTTTTTGGCGTCATCAGCTTTTAAAAATACTATATTCGTGTGGTAATATTTTGGGTTTATATAGCTCTTAATACGGAATACAGTCTCTCGGCAGGCTGACAACTTACTCAGTCAGCGACAGGATGATGATAAACTTACATTTTCAGCCTCTTTGGCCAAATATCATTGCTTACACGCAAAACCCATAATATAATACGTAGATACATATGCATAAATCCTGCATATATCCATATTCATAATATATGCAAACGCACAGACACACTCAACATGTATTGATCGAGTATCTTCTAATTAAATGAATGAAATACAATTCTAAGATGAACTCCAAAAGCATAGCGTTATTATGATTATTATGGGTATGAATAACCCATATCACTTAATAAAAGGATGATGACAAACTTACCTTATCGGATCCTAACAGCGGCAACACCAGCAAAATAGCTCAGGTATATCGCATGAGGTGGCATGAAGTGTTTGGTTCCCAGCACAGTAATCTGGCCCCGGCCCCCCACTCCGAGAACGGACGGACCCCAAGCGTGTTACCAAAATGTCCTTTTCGTAACAAAAGAAAAAGGTCGACCCGTATTGACTTTACACACCGGACTTTTGCTGGAAAGGGAGGGTGCTGAAAAAGGCTCGTATAACAAAAGAAAAAGGTCGACCCGTATTGACTTTACACACCGGACTTTTGCTGAGGGGGGGGGGGGGGGGGGGGGGGGGGGGGGGGGAGGTCGCTTGGAACACGCATATGCGTACCCTAAATAACACTAAGTTGTGGGGGGGGGCGGGAATCTGGCCTGGAACGTCTGACTTTCTATTGTTGTTTCGCCTTTTTTTCAAGCTTGCAAACGGTTCGCACCACATACATATTTATACAGACGCGATGCGCCGAGTGACACGGTACTTTTCTTAATGCTCGCGTCACACTGTCCCGAAGTTGACATAGGATGGACACACGATGCAGGAAAATTGAACTTCGCACGAAGTTAGCCCCGAAGTTGGTCAACAGCCAACTAACAGCCGAAGCAAGTACGATGCCTACAGAAGGTCACACGATGGCACCCGATGGCACCCGAACCACACGCGAAGGCAACACGAAGATGTGAATTTGTAATAAGAAGTGTACCTGCAGGCCACACGAAGGCCACACGATGGCTACACGACGTCGTATTGAGAGTACGATGCGTTCCGACTAGGTCACGAAGGCGTCACATAATAATAATAATAGTGGGTTCTTGTATAGCGCTCATGTCAGTCATATTTGACCCTTCCTGGCGCTCCCGATTATTACCCTGGCTTTAGCACGGCTGCCATTCGGCGCTCTAGCATTTCAAGGAATAAATTCCTACCAGGTACCCATTTACTTCACCTGGGTGGAGTGTGGCAAATGTAGATCAATGTCTTGCCAAAGGACATTAGTGCGGCGGCGGGACTCGAACCGCGGACCTTGTGATCGACAGTCCGGCGACGTATCCACTCGACCACAACACCTCTACCTGACCTCCCGATGATATAAAACCTTCGACCGACGGGGGGGAATTCAATTGCTGATCGGAAATTAATGATGCTCAGAGCAGGGGCGTCGGAGCGACTTCCAAATTTGGGGACGGGACCAACAAAAAAGGGCACTTTCTGGAAAAAAGGGCACCTACAAAGAGAAATCTCAAATCGAAAATATACAAATTGTTAGACATTGGAATGTACCCATATATATTGTGGTTACATTAACAGTGATGCTCTCAATATTTATTTCCTTTGTACATCATATAAGATATTGTCCAAGCATCATACTTTGCAGTTGGGAATGATGGTCTTAATATTCATATGAGAGCGAGGAAAAATGTTAAGATTTGTGAGGTCGCAGTGCAAAAAATTGCATCTCATAAAGAGAATTAAATCCAATACTGATGGGGTTACATTCACATTCTCATAACGGAAGACTGAAAAGACCTTTGATAAGTAACATAATTATACCATCTATAAAATCAATGCGAGTGAGTGTAGCGAGCGAGCTTTGGGAGAAATCGCCCTAATATTCACTTTAAATAAGGGGCACGTTTAAAAAGAGAAGAAAAGGGAACACTTATCGAAAAGGATAAGACACTTATTAAAAAGGATAAGACACTTATTAAAAGGCACTTATGAGAATGGTAAATGGGAATTTGTCGACGGAATTGGGGCATCCATCAGATTTTGATAGGGGCATTCATAAGAATTGAAAATGAGAATTAATGAAAAGGGGATAGGTCCCTTATAAGAAAGGAAAAGGGACACGTATCATTGTTAAAAAGATAATTATCAGAGGTGTAATGGGGCATTTATCACCCCTGAAAAGAGGCACTGACTAAATATGAAAAGGGTTACTTATGATAATTTAAAGGGACACTTTTAATAGGTGAAAAGGGGGGCATTTAAGAAAAGGGGAAGGAGCTCTTTTGTTCTAATGGGAAAACTTATCATACGGAAAAGGGGCACTTAATAATTAGATTGGAAAAGGGGCACACGTGGAAATAAAAGGTGTGCTTATGGGAGTTAAAGTGGGTAGTTATTAAAAGGGGAGGGGCACTTCCTACAAAATAAAGGAGGCACTGGTGAAAGTAAGAGAAGTAAAAGTAAAGTGCCTCAAAATTGAATAGGGTAATTATCAGAGGTGAAAGGGGCACTTGTCAAAATTGAAATGGACACTTTTTAACCCTAATAAGGCACGATTTTTCCGATTGCTCGGGAACGCATATGGATGGCGCCCCGCCACTCGCTGACCTTTTTTTCTTTCGAGTCTTGCGCAACTTTTAAAAGGTTTTTTTTGAAAATCGGACCTACGGTTACAAGGTCACGTGACCTTTTGTCTTTGCATGTCAGCCCGAAAATCGCTCATTTTCGTGATTTGTGTACAAAACATATGGAAAAGTCATTTTTCCTAAAAACAGATCAAACATGGGTTATTGGGTCTTGTTTCAAGTTTAGGTGGTTGTTTTGGGAGTCAAAATAGTTGAATTGTTGTAGGAAATGAAATAAAACAACAAAAACAATGAAATACATAAGTTAAAAAAACAATGAAATACATAAGAAACTATCAAAACAAGGGATAACATAAGGAATAAGCTGGCTCTTCCAATTTTTTTGTCATATTATTGTTCAGAATGATCTAATGAATATTTGTAGTGAAAAAGAATGCTTAAATATGAATAATATATGATTTAAGGGTAAAAATGTGATTTTTATGACTTTATTTGCATAAATTACCATAAATATGCAAATGAGTGAATTTTCAAAAAATTGAAATTATCATATTATTCTATACACTTCACTTGCCATGAGTGCAAATTTTCGCAGCGATCGGCCGCTTCGCGGCCGAGATCTTAAGGGGAGGCCATAATCCCCCCCCGGCCCTACTAAGACCTCAAATAGCCCGGCCTTTTTAGGGTTAAGGTAAAATGGGCCCTTTTGCTGTGTAAAAAAAAGCACTTCTTACGAAGTTATAGGGGCTCTTTTTTTACGTAAGAAAGGGCACTTTTGAGGTACTTGAAAAAGCCTCTGCCTATGAGGCTGGCTTTTTATATTCATTTTTTCATTCATTCAAATGGTTTATTTCAAATAAAACTTTCATCACGGCGTTTAGCCGAATTACACAGGTTTACAAACAAAATTGAAAACACATAATGTAATATAAAACATTGCCATGACATGACATGATATATTGAATCTGAAAAACAAATCAGTATAGATACGAGAAATATAGCTTATTGCAACATATGTCCTTGTCATCATGACACATGGGAAACGCTTGAGCTACTTAAATTCGGTTGTCTTCGCCGACACCGTGGTCCCATCTGGATGTCAATACGATGGCTACACGATGGCTACACGATGGCATTGCGAGGGTTTCACGTAGTCGTGTTGCCTTCCGAAGACAATCGGGCAGCTCCTTGTTTCCTCATTGTCTTCGTGAGGTGATAATGCCCGATGGCACCGATGATTACACGAAGTAATTACAAGATTACACGATTTGACAAGATGCTCTCACGATGGCCTTACGAAGGGCAAAATGGACACACGAATACAACACGAAAGTGAACCATCGCAAGGTCTTCGGGCAATTTTTTGGCACGCCAAAGATTTTGCCACCGCTCACGAAGTTGCTGCCGGAGCCTGAAAAATCCACCATATGAGTTAACGCTCTTCTAGCTCCAAACACATATACTCTTACGTTATGGTCAAATACCTGGTAAATCATGAAGGGGGGCGTACCCTACATGTTTTTGTTTTTAATACTTTAAAAAAAAAAATCCATTTAAATACTTATTAATTTTGTTTTAAGACCACTAATAAAGTGAAATCAAATTGCTCCAAAGGATGCAATGTAAGCTGTTGCCCATGAAGTGGGAATGCATTTCTCTTACCTGTGAGAATATTATATATTTTTTAGTATATAATAAAGTTAATATCTTCTCAGAACTTAATCAATTGGCCCATCTAATGATGTTAGAGATTGATTAATACGTTTCGGAGAAGACAACTATAAGTTTTATCTATCAAGAATAAATTATATGGTGACAATCATTTCATGAAAAGAAAAGGAAAATCTGTAAACTTATTACGGGCAACATATTATCGGAAAAAGAGGAGGTCGAAACAGTTGTTTTGCTTTTCAATTGATTTCATGAAATACACCATAAGTGAATCAAGTGAATCCAATGCCTTTGGATATAAGAAGACAAATGCTTTCAAGTAAATATCGACAAAACATCGAAAGATGGGCGAATCATCCGTTGTTGAAAAACATTGAACCATGTTCTAACCCAATGCCAACTTGGCATTTTGAATACTTGAAGGGGAAAAACGTAAACAAACCTTTTGGATATAGAATACAAAGCAAGCTGGGAAAACGTATAGAAACGATAACCCCCTCCCCATTTCCACCATGGTTATTCTACCCTCCGGCAGTGTCAACGGAATTAAGTACTCGAATAAAGAAAACAGATCATCCTACACAGCAAAAACAAAGCAGCCTGGAAATCATACATACTAAATGGGCGACTCAATTACATATACACATGCACCGATGGATCAAAAGTACCTGAAAGAGGGACCGCTGCAGCTGCTTCTTACGTCCCTTACTATTCTGTACATCGGAGCAAAATTTTACCTCTTCGTACAGGGCTAAATTGGCTGCTATCATTCTTGCTCTCAGATGGGTAGATGAATTAGATATTTACGTGGGGGTTGTTATTTTTAGTGATTCACTGAGTGCACTTATTGCATTACAACAACAGAAGGACGAATCTTTTATTCTGGAAATTCTCACAGTGACTACTCACTTAAAAAGTAAAGGAGTTGATATATATGTAAAGTGGATACCTGGACATTGTGTAATAAAAGGGAACGAGATGGCGGATTTCCAAGCAAAGGCCGCATTAGTAAAGAAAATAGAAGTCAATAATAATCTAAATATGTCAGAAATGAAAAGCTTAATTATTACAAGTTCCAAACTCCTTTGGCAAGAAAGGTGGAAAAAACCAACTCGTATTTGAAAACATTTAAAAAAGATGTTAATAAACAATATATATGTTCATTAGAGAGACAACATTCAACAATTATTCATCGACTCCGCTTTGGAGTCCTTAGACTTAACCAGGATATCCTCAGATTGAGAATTCATGCTACTGGTTTCTGTAATAGATGCCCCAGTGAAATAGAGACTGTAAAACACTTTTTAGTACATTGCCCTAACTATATTATAGAAAGGGCTATGTTTTTAACAGAAATTAACGAATCCCAACCGGAAAAAATTATGGAATACTTAAAAAAGAGTGAGTCCAGTATACAAAAAGCTATTGTACGGTTCTTTCTCAGAACGAAACGGTTCCCTATCAGGAAGTAATACCTCCCTTCGCGCAGAAATCATGAAGTAAGTAAATTAAATCTCGGGTTTTGAATTTTGTCCTTGAAATTGGAGGTAATTGGAATTCGTTAGACCGTTATGATTTCATTCTTTATCTATTCAACTTCATTTTCATCGCCGTTGTTCCGGATCAGCTCTCATTTAACATAAGAAAAAGAGGATCATGGGAGACCAACAGGCACCGATTGGGGAAGTTTTATATTAGAGGGAGCAAGTAGCTACAAGTAGGACAGTGTGCCTTTAAAGGGATAGTGGAGTTTTGTTGCAGAGGGCGCTACACAAAATAATTTTTTGTGAGATAATGAAAAGCTGAGTGTCTAGTTTGAAAGAACATACAATTTAAATGACAAAATTGTCTTTGTTGATCAAAATCGGTTCACAGACGGCTGAAATATCCATAAATATAACGATTTCTAATACTTGTGGTGCCCCACAAAACATTCGATAATTTGAACCAGCCGATGTTGGCTATTTGTTGGCTTTTTCGTGTTGGTTATAATAAGCACAACCAGCCGGCCCGTGTATTTTTTATTATTAATTAATTAATTGATTAACGGTCACGGTATTTTTCTGAAAGTGGAGCTGAATTGGTATATTTTTGTATTGGCTAAATTTTACACATTTTGGGGTCTAAAATTACGTTCATAGAAATGTTAGGTCCTTAAAGAGCACTAGAAATGTGTTAAATCAGAATAAGAGCAACAACCACGCACTTTGAAGGCATTTGGAGTCTGAAACAAGAACTCAACTGTCCCTTTAATGTGGTTAAACACAACTCTCTGTTGCATCACAGTCACACGTTGTTATATAGTCTGAAAACAAACAATATAAGAAATGTAATTCTTTAAAAGTATTTTTATTTGAATTAAAATCCTTACTACAATAACGCCAGAATATGGATGACACTGTGTTCTTAGAAAGTAGGTAGGCCTATAGATAAAAATATTTCTTTAAAATACATAATAACAAAATTAATATTGTGCAGTGGCTATAGTACACGTTCAATTTTAAACTGTAAAACATTAACCTACATTAAAAAATAAAAAATAAAAACATTGATCAACAAGGCTTCCCGAAACAATTGAAGTGCTCGAGGATATGACCATTTTGAAAGCTATAAAGATATACAGAACACAATTTAATTTAATCCACTATCAGGAAAAACTTGTCTAGGAGTTGAAACACAATTTCGGAAACCAATAAATGTTAAAAACCGACTTTTGTATCATTACATAATAATTATCGTCGCCCCCTGAGGTCTCTCTGTGCTTACAAAGGACTTTGAAGCCTTATTATCCCCGCATGAATAGCCAGTATGCTGTGGACGTAACAATAAATTTGAGTCCAGGGCCCCATTTCACAAAACTTGTCATCAGTGACAAATGACAGCTTCAAAGTTATAAGCTAGTGAACTTCTAGCTTGTAATTCGTTATCAGCAGATTTGTCACTGATTTTTGCCACTTGTCATCGAAAAAAAGGCTTTGTGAAACGGGTCCCAGGCAGGTCGTGTGATTACGCTGTGGAAGGAATTTGAGAAGGCTCGTCATGTCTTACAATAAGAATTAACGAAGACTGTGAAGTCGTGGAATGATCCAAATGAAAACTTGAAGAAAAAAAGATAATAAAAGACCAAATTTCCTGTTAATGAAATGACACTGCATGCAATGATCACACATAATTTTGCAGGCCTCTAACTTCTATGAAGTATACCTGTCTTATATAATTAAGCACATTAAAGTCCAATATTCCAAATCTGGAGTTGTTTAAACCTCATTTATTTTTCATAAAAATACAATGATTTTATCCGGTTCACGATGATGTCGTTAGGAAAATAGAGCGCCGGTTAAGATAGTGAGGACAACGAAGAGAATGAGAGCGACTGCGACGTCGAGGAGGAAGAAGACACGGGGCGCACTGAAGCTGGACTGGGCCTGTGAAAGAGAAAGAGAGAGAGAAAGAGAGAGAGAGAGAGGGGGAATATGAAAGCGACAGAGAGAGAGAGAGAAGAAATAAGGAAAAGGTGAACTTTATTTTACTATTAAGTTGATAAAAGCTGTGATCTAATTTTTAATACGATCAGAGTTTGTAAATTCAATCATAAGCACACTAGTTATGATTTATTTCCAGACATCCTTTAAAAGGCAAGAGCCTAATTGGTGCTGCCAACGAAACAGGTAATAACAACATAAAGTATTCTGTTAGTAGGCCCCTATTAAAAATTACTTCTTGAACTCTCTATGTTGTGGCGTAATGAGCGAAAACTTTTTGGGGCCAATCTTTGCGAGGGAGCGTAGCGTAGGGGGATGGTGTGGGAGGGGGTGTCTTTTTTATTTTTCGACCTGAAAATGTGCAATCTGGAAAGGAATTTTCTAGTAGTGTTACGTACCACTATGGCCCTTTAGACAAGTGACTATAAAAAAAACGTAATGCATTCCTGGCTATTTGGGAATGTGTCAGTTTGCAACAGAAATGGAGAAACGCGCATTTTGTTGAAAATCATGTGTTATCACGAACATTTATAAATCACTTGTATGGAATTGAAAATAATTCATGGTTTAATTTTATGGGGGCAAGCGCCCGAAGCCCCCCCCCCCCCACCAGTACGCCAGTGCCACCAGTAGTGCACCTACAGAGTTTAATTCTATATATTGGAGCAACACAAACACATTATTAGTAGAAGTAGAAGAAGTTGTAGTACTAGTAATAGTAGTGGTAGTGCATTGTAGTAGTAATAGTAGTATATATAGTGATAAAACACGATACCATCTACAATCTGATTTTCGACCTAAGGCAATTTTAATAGTCAATATGTCACCTACTGAATTGTGCGAACACGAAAATCACGTGTTACGTAATCCGAACTTGATTTCTATATGGGACAAACTAAAGAGTTTTAAAACTGCCCTTGACTTAATTTTTGGGAAACAATTGCGATCATGATATAACAAGATATTTCCACCACCTCCCATTTCGTTCAAGGGAGGCACAACGGAATTACTAACCTTCGTCGTCCCTTGCTGCTCTGCGGGGTAGAACCGGTAGATGATGGCGTTGATGACGACGACGATGCTGTTAATCAACATCCCAGCCAGAAGGAACCTCCCCAGCCTGGTCACAGAGTACGCCGGCACCTCGGCGCTGAGAGCCGCATTGAGGACGATGAGCGACACAAATACCAGGCCTGCGAAGATGATACGTTCTCCTCCCTTCGACGGCTGCATGAGGAAGACGGCGAGAATCAACCAGACGCTGACAACGGCGGGACCGATGCGACCGTGGCTCTCCCGGCGGCTGATCGTGATGTAGAACGTGACATCTTCGTACACCTCCTCGCAGCAGGCGTAAACGATCGCGTGTTTCTGCACCGATGTTTCTACGATGTGCCACATCGGGTTATCCGAGAAATGACTCAGACCCACACCGGTTGACCTCGTGTCAAAGACTATCCGCGAGTTGTCGTTGGTCCAAGAACCAAAAGTGAGGCTGCAGTTCTATACAGATAATAAATTTTGAGGTAAAGAAATGTTTTTAAAGTGTTGTATTTTGATAAAGGATGACTATGTGTCGTGTCCTATATAAGTAGGTAAGATATCAATTAACTAACCCGAAGATAAGTACCGTTATAGAATAAAATAATATTTTAAACAATTTAGAAACCCACAAGCCCGGATAAATAGGCCTATACTCAAAATCAAATTTTCCCAGGTACAACTACTGCCTATGGAGTAATTATTTGGTGAAATTATAGTCCTAGAAATTTTCCCAGGGGTAATTGTCCTAACATGCATACGGTTAAGTATTCGGGGATACTAGTCTTGTCCTATCAGACTGTCCTCGATGTTAAGTTATCCGGTGTAATTGTTTAGCGGCTTTCCTGAATATTATGTTATGGTCCGTGGTTATGATAAAAAAATCCTTTGCAATTAATACATGGAGCGCGTTCAAAATGAGGCAGAAACGAAAATGCTGACATATTTCAATATTTTAGCCCTATACATTTGCTATAACCGCTATCACAATACTCTGTAAAGAGGGACTCAATGGAATTAGATCACACAGGCAAGACTGACACGGGACCGACAACCAGGGGCGGCGATTTCTTTTCATGACCGAGGGGGGGGGGGGGGGGGGGGGGACGAAATGCGAGGGACGATGGAGCAGTGGCGTAATGAGCATGAAGCTCAGGGGTTTTAGGCATTAAATTACGATCAGATGAACATCCAGGGGCCGCCTTAGGGCCCTTGGTGAGGTCCAGGGGGCAGAGTCCCCGGAAGCTCTGGGAAATATCATGCCATATCAGCAACATTTGTAAATCACTGGTATCGAATAGAAATAAACAACGTTTAAATTTCATTGGGGAGGGGGGAACTGGCCCCAAAGCCCCCCCCCCCCCGCAAATGCGAGGGAACAATAGTGAATAAGAGGTGTGAAGGTGACGGAAGAAACTACCCCCTCACAGGTTTTTTGTTACATTAAAAAAATACAGACTTAGCAAAACTATAGTATAAAAACAAGCAATATACTTTTTTCACACTTTACTTTTCTTGGTATTTACTTATACATTTTAAAGGATATTATGGGAGGGAGTGTAGCTCCTGAGTGAGAAGATTTTTGCATTTTTATTTGTCTAAACACTGCACTCTTGGGCCCTCCAGAGCCTAAAAGTGTGTTGCAGTCTTTAGTCCGATTTGCTATACATTTTTTTTGTTGCACTTATCAAATTTTTAGGGGGGACGATCCCACCCCTAAAAATTTTTTTAGGGGGGGGACGTGTCCCCCCGTCCCCCCCCCCCCCCCCTCCCCGGGATCGCCGCCCCTGCCGACAACACACAGAACATTTTAACCAAAAATTATCCCCAAAATGGCCAAGAATTATTGGTCTGTTTGGAGTCTGTCTAGAAATGATTTGGCGATGTGTCTGCCTGGGTTATACATGACGTCGTTGGAATTTTTTCCCCCTAATTTTTTCTTCAAAGAAAATCTTTATTCAATTGCTCTCAAAGCATAAAGCAGTGTAAACACATGTACAAAATGATGGATGTATACAATTTTGACGAAGAAAGTTACGACAAAGAACAAGATTCTCCATCAATCAAGAAATGAAATAAACCAATCTTGTTGCGGATAGGTTTTTTGTAAAACTTCATAATAATATTTCAATTTCTTTATAAAAAATGGAAATGATAAAGATCCCTTCAAACATCTATGTGAAACTAGACAATAATTATTTTATAACATAGTATCGGAATCTTGCCGTCTTACGTGAGAATCGTAGGGGAAGTCACTGAGATCGAGTCCGCACGAAGCGTCGACGAACATCGGTACGACCAAGTAGATGGTCCCGTCAGGGTAGATGATGGCCTCGGAATGATCAATGCTGGGCTCATTGGAAGCACTAGAGGATAAAGACAGATGGTTATATTTAAAAAAAAAAAAAAAAAAAAAAATATGATTGGGGAAGGGGGGGGGGGGGGGTCAGGATCACAAACGAACTTGAATGCATGTGCAGAAGGGGGCAGAAGGTTTAGAGAGGTAATTGCTGCAGATGTTGGACACACCCCTTAATTTACTTAAAGGCCCACTGCACTACTTGTAGCTACTTGCGCCCTCTATATAACAAACAATGCCTAATCGGTGACCATTGGTCCCCATGATCCTCTTTTTCTTATGTTAACTGAGAGCTGAGTTGATGAGATAACCACCTGTCCAGTGACCTTGCAGGGCGGTCTAATCCCTCCTGTAAACTACGGCAGATAAGCTTTAAGACCGTGTTTATTCACTGGAACAGTAAAGACAGTATTTATTTAAAAAGTGCTTTTTCCTGAAAATCGTCTGATAAATCTCATGGTTACTGCCTTTTTGGAAATTTTCTTTCCATTGGCAGATGCTTTAAACAAACTAGGAACAAACTCGTCTCGATTATGACATCATTTTCATTCGACATAAATTATGATTCTCATATACCAGAACTGAAGATTAGCTTTAATTACGGTGTCGATCTCGTATATACCATGTATACAGATTATCATTGGGGGGGGGGGGAATTCATAATGTCGAGGGGGTTCGAACCTAGGACCTGTTTGTCTACCTACCTGTTCCAGATACTGATGTCAGGAACCCAGACTACTGAGGAGGAGACGTGGAATCTGCGAATATTACCAAAATCTGCTGGGTTCCAAGTCAAACGTTCATCTTTATACACCTGATTATAGAACAGATGATATTCCATTAACCCTGTATAGCCCGGGCTATTTTGAAACTGCATAACTCGGGGGGGGGGGGGTTGGCTTCTAAGCCCCCCCCCCTATGATCTCGGCTATTTATGGACCGATTTTGTCCAAACTTGGCGTGTTTGTATTTTATCATGTACTTATCAAGAATGCTTAGTAAAATTTATGATATCTATCGTTAATTTTAATTTATGTCTAATTAATGATGCAAATATGCAAATTTTTCCAACGAATTCTCATTTTGTCCAGTTTCCCCCCTATTTATGGAGAAAATGCAATTACATTTGGCATGTTTGTAGCTTGACATATAATTTAAAAGATAGGGTAGTCAAATTAATGACATGTATTGAAATTCCATACTTATAATTGTGATTAATTATGAAAATATGTTAATCTTTTTTCTTGAAATTCTAATTCTTATGTATTTCTCTGTTTTTAAATCTTTTGTTTTTCATTATTTTGTTATCTAGAATAGTTCATGATGGCCAAAAGGGATGTTATCTGAAGAAAAACAGAAAATAACACTCTTCTAACAACAATTCTTGTAAAACCCATCCATTGTACACACAAGATCATTGGAAACCATTTTTGGAGCCGTTTTTGTGTGACATTGGTCACGAATATGTGCTACATTTCCGATACCATACCCCCTATTTTTGCAAATAGGGTCTTAAAATGTGCGGGAGATGTCAAAGAAAAAACTCATAAAATTTCAGCGCCAGATTTTATTGCGTTAAAAAATTATCACAAAAATGTAGGGGGGACTTCTAAAGCCCCCCCCCCTATATAAGGTTAAAGGGGGATCCATCCTCAGGCTGGTGTTAAGTTGGTTTTAATGAAGCAGAAAATGGGAGAAACAGACCAGGAAAAGTTTGAGCAAATTCAGATTAACAATAAGAAATCAATCAAACACGAATTGGGAACTCTGTGACGTATCTTGCGAGGTCTCCTCTCATTTGTCCTGTATATACTAGACAAAATCAGAGATGTCTGTTTTTGCCTAAAGAAAATTTCCAATCATAGATGTACCCTTACTTTTATTGTTGCAAATATGTTTTATACAACCCCTGTATGAAACAAAATATTCCTTCATCAATAATAAGAAAATTAAAATTAAACAAAAAATCTGTACAGAGAGAATTGGAGAGGAACACGCAGGATACGCTACGGCGTTGCCAATTTGTGTTTGATTAATCGCAACTTCAAAAGATCATTACTTTGTCTATACTTGCCAGTAGGCCTACCCTTTGCCTAAGTTAATGATAACTTACCAATGTTCGCCAAACGTTCATGTGCATAGTCCCTTGAAATAAATCCTGAAAGATATGAAATTCAAAATCAATCAAAGACGTCTTACAATGTCGAATGATTCACTAAATATGAATAAAATAAATCAAAATAAAGGTACGAGTAAATGTGTATCCAAAGAATATTGAATATTGAAGGAAATATGTAAGCTAGTAAATGAGCTACCCTTGTTTGGTTTCCTAAGAGATATTGAAGAATCCTTTTTTTTAAAGAATTAAAGTAGCCCTTTCGTATTGTTCATTCCGTTAAAGCTTATCTGTACTAGTTTATAGGACGGATCAGACCACACTGCAAGGTCACTGGACAGGTGGTTATCTCATCAACTCAGCTCTCAATTAACATAAGAAAAAGAGGATCATGGGGGACCAATGGTCACCGATTAGGCAATGTTTTCTATAAAGAGGGAGCAAGACTTAGTAGCTACAAGTAGGACAGTGTGGCTTTAAAGTAAGTTTCTATATTATTGTATGCTCTATCTTGTATATTTTATGATATAAATGAACATATACTTTTGAAATAAAATCAATCAATCAATCAATCAATCATTCAATCATCCACCAATCATTTATCAATCAATCAATCCACCAACCATTCAATTATCAGTGATATATATCGATTAATCAATCAATCAATTAATTAATAATCAATCAATCAATCAATCAAACAGCCAATCAACCAATTATTCAAATACCATCATCATTAGAACTGACCAGTTTTTGTAAGAGCTCGAGATCTATTGATATATTCACGTTGTGTGACTCATCAGGGTGGGGTAGAAAACTCTTGGTGTAGTTCGAAAACAAGGTTTCGTACAGATCACCTCGAAAGTCTGTTCAGTGAAAAGCAAAAAGATATGTCGGTCTGGTCAGAGGGTGTACAGTTAATATTTTGGAATATGTGTGTTTACTAGTAACTTTTACAAATGCAAAAAAAAATGAAGAAAAAACAAAAAAGAAGAAAAACATGGCACAAAATCATCCCACTTTCTTTTAAAGAATCTGTCTTGCTACTTTCAAAAGATACTTTCTAATATATTGGTTCCTTATTAATAAAATGTGAATAACGTATCTAAACGAGTCTATAAATGTTTAAATTTTGTAATTGCATTGGTATTTTTTGGTTTAGCGCTCCCAAATAATCGATATTTATTACATTATAAATAACATAGCAGTCATAACATTCTTTTAATGACTGCATTTGTTCTGTCACAAAGAGAAAATGTGCACAAAATAGACCACTGCGATTCACATAGGTTAAGTGAAATAAAATGTAAAAGGTTTGGGCAGACTAGCTTAGACTTTCAATGCGGCATTGCCAAACATGTGAAAAATAAGCAAATATTACAATGCTACGATTATTATGCTCGGTATAACATTCTCCTCGGTCAATTTGAATTAAACATATGACATGTCGTAAAAGATCATAAAATCAAGAATTGGATGAAAGGACATTAAATATTGATATTGTTCAGTGGGGTAGCCACTGGAGACACCGAGGCACGATCTAGTCGAAGGAGAAAGATGAAGAACCAAAAAACAAACAAAAAACAACAACAGAAAAACAAGAACAACAACGGCACTCTCTATAAGCATTTCATACATCTAATATTTTAGTGCCCCCATGCTTCGATCCAGTGCCCCTCCTCCTTAAAAGCTGACCCAATGCCTGGGGCGGATCTAGCTTTTTGCCAAGGGGGGTGTTTGACCCAGTGGCGGATCCAGGATTTTCCAAAAATCGCGACGTTTTATTGTTTTACTTTTCCCCTTCTTTTCTTCTTCTTTTTTCTTCTCTCCCCCCCCCCCTTTTTTCACTTGGCCGCCCAAGGGTGGGGGGGGGGGGGTGCTTAAACCGCCGAAACACTCCCCCCCCCCTAGATCCGCCCCTGAATGCTACACTATTGCTTTTGTTGATGCTAGATAGATATACCTTTATGGGCAGTTGCCTCTCCAGTGATGCCAAGGAGCAGAGCAGTTACGATGGTACAGATCTTCATGGTTTCGGTTGTGATCACTAGTGACAAAGCAAGAAAGAAATTTTCTTTGTAAAACCCCCGGTGAACGCCTACTGTGTACCCCTATCTCCACCCCTCTGTATTTAATGTGATGTAGGGGCACAGTTTAGTGATGACACGTAATAACAAAAATAAGAATAACATGATGATTATAATGGTAATAATCACAACAATAAAAATATAATAAAAAAAATTAAATTAAAAAAAATAAAAATAAAATAAAAATATAATGATTATAATGGTAATAATAACAACAACAAACCCTATAATACTACTACTAATAATTATAATAATAATAATAATAATAATAATAATAATAATAATAATAATGATTGTTACTCAGGCCCAGGCCCAGGCGCATACACAAAACATACACATAAAAAAAAACTCAAGTGGGGGGGGGGGGGGGGGGGTTTAACCCCCAACCCCCCCCCCCCTTGAGTTTTTTTATGTATATGTTTTGTGAAAACCCTCCCCCCCCCCTTTTGAGTTTTTTTTAATTTTTTTTTATGCCAATATGCCAATGGCTGATCTAAAAAAGGTGACCTTACGTACCCCCCCCCCCCCCCCCCCCCCCCCCAACGGAACAAAATGCTCATCCCGTGCAGGGCTCCAGTTTCCAGTGGGATGTGTTTATCGGTTTTTCAAATTTCGAGACTAAAAAAAAAAAAAAAGTGTCATCTTACCCCCCCCCCCCCCCCCCCCCCCCCCCCCCCCCCCCCCAACTGAGCGACCACTGCTCAGGCCTCTAAAAAGGGTGTGGAGCTTTTATTGGACACCAGTCCGTGCAAATAATACAAATACAATTTTAATTTGTAATTGCAAATACGTATCGGTTTCGATCTCCTGCAATTAATATCATTATTTTCTTTTTATCTCTGTCTGCCTGCATGTCTGTCTTTTTGTTTGTTTGTTCGTTTCTGTATGTCTGTCTTTCTCCCTCTTTAATTCTTTCTAACTATCTCCCCCCCCTCCCTCCCCCTCCGTCTCTCTCTCTCTCTCTCTCTCTCTCTTTAAATGGGAGGGGGGGGGGGGTATAGGCTTGACATTTTACATGGGAACGACCTAAATGATTGCTCTGGGAATCAAGTAAACATGTCAGAGTACTTTTGACAACAAAAACCTAAGCTCCCTCTCTTTCAGCCATTAAAATGAAATTGTATAGAAAATGAACTTCAACATCACGTGACATTTGATGATTGTTAAGAAAATATTCGCGGGATCTGAATTCTTTCATTTTGCTTTGCACATCTGTGACGTTCCCAATGGGCCGAGCATTGTGGTAATCACAATACAGGTTGTTTGTTAGAAGGATAGAGCATTGGAGAGAAAATGGGCGAGTCCAAGTTATTTTATTCACAGCTAGGTTACCGACTAATTTATACTCTACAACATCATAAGTCACATGATTGTTAGAGCTTAATTTGATGCGTCTAAATATAAAGTGAAATGACACATTTGATGTAAGTTTACATGACTGTGAAGAAATACACATTACGCGATAATGATGACAAAATACTTTTGTCTTTGGAGTTGCCAAAATTAATGTAAGTCGATGGTGTGCCCTGTTGTTAAATGAGCCCGAATTTGCATCATTAAATAGGTTTTTGTAAATAAATTATAAACATTTATGGATAGAACCATAATATAGGTCTATCAATATTGATTTAGTTGATGCCGTATACGAAATGAAAATTTTGTGTAGCCGTATATATAGCCTATAGTATATAATTATATAGCCTATTTAAAGACATATCGAATATGACTGTCATGTATAGGAATTTCTAGAATATACATGTACTTATTCATTGCGTGATGGCCGTGTGCCGTTGGCGCCTATAGGTGTGCCCTGAACAATTGTGTTGCATTAATTGTTATTGCCCAGGTGATAGAAGATATTCACTTGAAGGTCGTGAATTGTGTGAGCATCATAAAAGAACTGTTGGACTGTTATCGTTGGATTCGTTACCATTAATGTTTCTCTGTAATTTGTTTTGGCGTCATCACTAATACATTCGTGTGGTAATTGATTCTGGGCTTCTTTCTCAGCAGGCTGACAACTTAACAGTATTAGGATGATGATAAATTTACATTTTTAGCCTCTGGCTAAATATTATTGCTTACACACAAAACCCTATATGTTCATTTATTTCTTTATATTTGTACAGGGCCCCTTCTAATTTGCTTTCTTAGGGGTCCTAATGTATATTTTGTATGTATTCATTATGTAATAATTATATTTTGAGTGGAAAATTGAAATTAAATTGAAATGTATACATACATGCATGTGGATATATACATATATAAAATAATATTCATATGCATAATAAATGCAAACGCACAGACACACACATAATGTATTGAGTATCTTCTAACTGAATGAAAAACAATTTTAAAATGAACTCCAAAAGCATGAGTAGCGTTATACCATAATTAGATTATTATGGGTATGAATAACCCATATAACTTAATAATAGGATGATGACAAACGTACCTTATCGGATCCTAACAGCGGCAACACCAACAAAATAGCTCAGGTATATCGCATGAAGTGGCATGAAATGATTTTGGTTCCCAGCACAGTAATCTTGTCTGGAACGATCTGACTTTCTATTGTTGTTTCGCCTTTTATACCTTTTCAAACTACGGAAGCGTTAAAGTGCCATTCTACTTGACGACATGACGAGATATTTCATCTTGTCAAGTCGACTTAATATCCATATCATGTCGACATGTAAAGATATTTAACCTACCATGTCGACTTATCAACTTTTATTAGTCGTCATGGCGACATAAGTTATCTTACCAAGTCGACTTCTAAAAAAATACATGTCGTCATGGCGACATATATTATCTTACCAAGTCGACTACCCAAAAAGTAATGTCGACATGGCGAAATAAATTATCTTGCCAAGTCGACTTCACAAAAAGTTCATGTCGTCATGGCGACATGTATTATCTTGCCAAGTCGACTTCACAAAAAAGTTCATCTCGTAATAGCGACATAAATTATCTCACCAAGTCGACTTCCCAAAAAGTATGTGTCGTCATGGCGAGATATGTAGTGTGACGAAGACCAAATTACGGAAGCGTTAAAGTGCCATTCTACTTGACGACATGACGAGATATTTCATCTTGTCAAGTCGACTTAATATCCATATCTTGTCGACATGTAAAGATATTTAACCTACCATGTCGACTTATCAACTTTTATTAGTCGACATGGCGAAATAAATTATCTTGCCAAGTCGACTTCTAAAAAAATACATGTCGTCATGGCGACATATATTATCTTACCAAGTCGACTTCACAAAAAGTTCATGTCGTAATAGCGACATAAATTATCTCACCAAGTCGACTTCCCAAAAAGTATATGTCGTCATGGCGAGATATGTAGTGTGACGACTATTTCATGCAGCGCGCGTATATGGCAAGCCTTTTGTGTAAAAACCAGATAAACTCTGTTTTTCTCAGATAAACTCAGTTTATCAACAGATAAACACAGTTTATCAGAAAAACTCAGTTTATCAGTTGATAAACTCAGTTTATCAAGAAAAACTAAGTTTATCAATGATAAACTCAGTTTATCAATGATAAACTCAGTTTATCAACTGATAAACTGATTTTTTTCTGATAAACTCTGTTTATCTGATAAACTCTGTTTATCTGTTGATAAACTAAGTTTATCATTGATAAACACAGTTTTTCTGATAAACTGAGTTTATCTGAGAAAAACAGAGTTTATCTGGTTTTTACACAAAGGGCTTGCCATATACGCGCGCTGCATGAAATAGTCGTCACACTACATATCTCGCCATGACGACATATACTTTTTGGGAAGTCGACTTGGTGAGATAATTTATGTCGCTATTACGAGATGAACTTTTTTGTGAAGTCGACTTGGCAAGATAATACATGTCGCCATGACGACATGAACTTTTTGTGAAGTCGACTTGGCAAGATAATTTATTTCGCCATGTCGACATTACTTTTTGGGTAGTCGACTTGGTAAGATAATATATGTCGCCATGACGACATGTATTTTTTTAGAAGTCGACTTGGTAAGATAACTTATGTCGCCATGACGACATGAACTTTTTGTGAAGTCGACTTGGCAAGATAATTTATTTCGCCATGTCGACTAATACAAGTTGACAAGTCGACATGGTAGGATATCTTTACATGTCGACATGATATGGATATTAAGTCGACTTGACAAGATGAAATATCTCGTCATGTCGTCAAGTAGAATGGCACTTTAACGCTTCCGTACCAAATACATGATTGCACTTAACTGTAATTCTTAAAACTGACTCCACGTGATCATTTATGTCGCCAAGACGACATCTACTGTTATTAAGTCGACTCGGTAACATATTTTATCTCGCCATGACAACATGTACTTCTTACGAAGTCGACTTGGCAAGATATTTTTATTTCGCCATGACGACATATACTTTTTGGGAAGTCGACTTGGTAAGATAATTCATGTCATCATGACGACATACTTTCTGAGAAGTCGACTTGGCAAGATAATTTATTTCGCCATGACGACAGATACTTTTTGGGAAGTCGACTTGGTAAGATAATTTATGTCGCCATGACGACATGAACTTTATGCGAAGTCAACTTGGCAAGATAACTTATGTCGCCATGACGACATGAACTTTTTGTGAAGTCGACTTGGCAACATAATTTATTTCGCCATGTCGACTAATAAAAGTTGATAAGTCGACATGGTAAGTTAAATATTTGTACATGTCGACATGATATGAATATTAAGTCAACTTGACAAGATGGAATATCTCGTCATGTCGTCAAGTAGAATGGCACTTTAACGCTTCCGTATCAAACGGTTCGCACCACAAACATATTTATGCAGACGCGATGCGCCGAGTGACACGGTACTTTTCTGAAGGGATTTTAATGCAAACACTCACAATGGGACTCCCAGGTACTCAAATAGGGAGAGATAGAGAGAGAGAGGGGTGGAGGGAGAGAGAGAGAGAGAGAGAGAGGGAGGGGAAGGAAGAGAGAGGGAGGGAGGGAGAGAAAGAGAGAAAGAGAGAGAGAGAGAGAGAGAGAGAGAGAGAAAGAAGAAAAAAAGGGGGCAGGAGGGTAGATCGAGTATTGTATTTAATTAATAGCTTGCTTTTCCCACGGGGTCTCTTAACAATTTATGCCACCATCATAAATTTCGACCTAGCCCTCTCAATCTCAAACAATAAGCCTATTCAAAATAGCTTTTAGGTGTGTGGAGTTGATAACTGTAAAAAGGAATTGTCTGTACAATAAATCATACCACAATGGCGTGCCCCTTTTCAATGAACCGATGTCATAGTGAGAATCTAGCTATGAATATTTCAATTACCTGTTGGAATAAAAAAAATAAAATAAAATAGGGCCTATTATCTTCATGGTGTGCAGATCACTCAGTATGCAGGCATGGCCTAAAGGGGCAACATGGCCCTTTGAGATACAAACAAAAATGAGTGAGAGAGAGAGAGAGAGAGAGAGGGGGGGGGGGAGGGGGGAGTGAGGAAGAGGGGTGGGGGTTCGGAGACAATCTGATGAATAGGTCTACATGCACAGATAGAGAGCCTGAAAGAAAAGATGGAAAACGAAGAAAATAGAGAATTAAAGAGAAAGATATAGAGAAGGAGGGAGAAGTTTGTATGCCTTTTTGTTTTCTTACAATTTTCTCATTAAATTTTTTCTCAAAATGAAGATTTCCAGACCTTTGTAGTTCATATGTTTTTCGGATAGGACGCAAAAGTCCGCAACATTTGTAGACCAGCTTATGGTCGTTTTAATCTTTCGCCCTTTCCCAAATGCGTACTCCCCACGAATTCACCTTCCCCTGTGTGTCCGTACGTGTATATTATGGTGTACTATATGTGAGCGAGCACGGATCATGTAGAGAACAGTCCAGGCAGTGGACTACAACATTTGCCGATCTCTGGTCAATATTTTCACAATTTCAGACCCAATTCCTAAAAAAAATCTTCACTTTTTATCTTTTTCGTTCCATTGTTGATTTTAGGTTTTAAAATCTCTCCGTTTAAAAAGAAAATGATATGTCCAAGAAAATGCCATTTTCGTTTTATGAAATTAAATTTAATGTGCAAATCATTGTTAAGTGACCTGTTACGAATATTTGTATTCAATAGTCAGAAATGCATACATTACACCTTGCTAGGTAGGGCAATGAATAGCCCTGCTTTTTCCCACGGGGTCTACTAATAAGCATTTATGCCACCATTATGTTCTGACCAGTGGCGAAATGAGCAAAACTTTTGTTGGGAGCAGAAACAACATTGCCACATCACCACCAGGTGGCATAATAGGCAATTGTTTTTTGAGGGGGGCCGGGGGCGTATTTTTTTATTTACACGGCAGCGAGGGGAATTTCTTCTTCTTCTTCAGTAGCAGTACAGGCAACCGTCAGGTGTATTGTCGTACTGTTGAGGTGCAGTGCAGATGTGTGTACAATGTCTGATAATAGCTAGGTACAGTTGACTGAGTGCGAGTAAAAACAGCTACCATTTTAGCGGAGCTGGGTCTTTTGTACCTCTAGCTTGAAGGTGTTAGGTACAATTAACGGCGTTCTGAGGGAGGCAGTTCCAGAGTCTTATAGAATCCGGGAAGAAGCTCCTCGGGGGGCCGTTTCTCGAAACCAACTCCATGACAGTCATATCTTTGTCGGCGACCTACGGAGATGTCATGAAGCGGATAAACCGTTTCACAAAGCCATGACAGACATGATATCGATATATCGCGATACTAGCAGCTCAAGAACATAGTCTTTGTCACGATCCATTTGATTTATCAAGAATAACCCAAAACAAGTTTTGGGGCTAAAATTGTTCAAAAAGAAATATATACATATAAATTCTCCTAAAATAAATAATAAATAGTGTCATTATCAAATGTAGATCACCAAACGATTTGCATATTTCTGTAAAGATTCTTAAATTGAAGAAAAACCGGCGAGTGTTTTTTTTTCGACAGTCGAATGAAAAGTTAGTTGAAGGATACCGTAATGTGATAGTTTATCAATACGTACTTTTTGTTTATTGTGACGAGGAATTTTAGGCAAAATACCTTTTCTCAGCCAGTTTTTATTCTAGAGTCTCATAAATACTCATTATATAATTGATTTGATATTGAAAATATAATTTGGAAGAAGTAATTAGGGAGGAAATAATAATGCACATAGGCCCCAAAGGTATGACGGTATCCTAAGAAAAGACTATGAATCGACGACGGAAAACGGTGTGTAACCTTCTTATCTCTCTTATTTATATGTTATAGTTAAATGATTTGTGATTTAATGTTTATATTCAGCTTTTTAACATTTCTGTATAATTTGTATTATCACTTTTTTACATTTGCATTTCGCATCCCAGAGAATTACGTACCGAACTCGTCTATATTTTTCTCAAAATGATAGTGAAACTAATCGTACATTTTGCGGCCCATGGAATAGCAACAAACTGACTTGTGATGGCGCTTTACAGCAATTAAAAGATATGACAGGTTCGGAGCAGTGACAACTCGCTTGTCGCGGAAGTTGTCGCTCATCTTGGCAAAGAC